CTGTGTTCGTAAGTGACCTGTGTCTGTATTGTGGGAAGGGAACTGGAATGGAATGTTTAGGCTCTAGATCCACTGTGTCTCCAGACTAGGAGGATGCTGAAGTACTGGGATGTAAGCATGCTGAAGGGACAGAGAAAGTGAGCCCCCATGACTGCACAGGGATTAGAGAAGCTGAGTGGTCATACAAAATAATCACGTTGTTGAGTGAGGGTACCCCTTTGATTGTATTTGATCCTTTTTGTTTCTCCTCTGCAGCTGTGAACTGTGGTGATCCCCCTCCTGTTGACAATGCTCAAGCCTCATATGTGTCCGAACTCCACGAGCCTCTGTACACGGCTGCTGTCCGCTATCAGTGCGAGGCACCCTACTACACCCTAGAAAACAAAGAGCATGGTGAGCATTGCCTCTGCTGCTCAGTCATATTCCTTTGGTTAAAGGCCTAAGAAATGGCTCTGGCACCAGAAATGGGGCTGGGATTTTATGCTGGTGTGGGGTTGCAGGCAGTAGTTTTGTGCTGCCTCTGTGTTTAATACACTCTAACAATGCCTGGGCTGTTGACCTCAAATGCGTTAGCAAGTCCTGTCTCCATTTGCCTTGTGAGTGAACCCTGCAGGTTTTTGTCACACATAGCACAGAGTTCGACGTGGAAAAGTAAAGGACTCAAGAATTAGAGTCACTGTTAGATGAGGTTTCTCCCAAAAAGGGATAGAAGCACCCTAGGTAGGGAGATAACAGTAATGTTGACCAAACCATGCTCGCTTTGGAAATAAGATTGATATATCATATATAGCAGTGTTATTAACCCTGCATTCATCCTGATTGTGCCCTTATGGAACTCTTTTTTCTCTCATGTTTTCCAAGTGATATATCAGTGTTCAGCCAGTGGAGAATGGGTCAATGAAGAGATGGGAACAAAGCTACCAAAATGTGTCCCAGGTATTACCAAATACTGTATGTGCATGCAGCATATGAAGAACACTGCTTCTTTCATCTCTGTATTTTTCTTTTCTTAACTTCCAGCTGATAAAGAGAATTTTAAAACCTGTATACTCTTCACTTTAACCTCGTAGAGGAGGCAGCATGACTTGACCTAGTTGTACATGGTGCCTGTTCACTCCTCCAAAGCCCCAGATCCTCACTGGCAAAGTACAAGATCCAGGTGGAGGAGATTCAACTCCCTTGAAAGTTCAGTCACAGCTTAGACAGTGATTTGGATTGTACAAGTATACAGTGAAAAAGGCAAATTGAAAGATAAAGCTTGGGGAATTTTCTGCCCGAGAGGAGGCTACAAAGAATATGAAGCCAAATTCTTCTCAGTGGGACATAGCAATAAAAGGCAATGACAGGCTTGAGTTGCAACAAATGAAATTCTGATTGTATCTAAGGAAAAATGCTACCCCATAGCACTGGAACTGCTGTCCAAAGAGGCTGGCTAATCACTACCCTGGGAGATGAGCAGAAGTTACCTATCAAAGTGCCTGATTAACCTGGCTTTGGAGTTAGGAGGACAGCAGGGAGGGCAGTTAGGGAGGAACAGGTTGAATTAAAGGCACTGAGAAGTATCTTCCAGCCTAAATCTTCCTATGATTATGTGAAATTCTTTAACAAATTTTGCTTCATTCAAATTAGAAGCCATCTGCTGGCTATAGTTCCTTAATCTCTGATTTTCTGTCCAAGGATTCAATGCAAACACGGCAATGTGGTAAGAAATCAGTTTCCTACCTATGTCAGAGTGACCAGTCTTATTTATGTCCTTATTATTAACATTCTGCAAAATGTTACCAAACATTTTGCTCAAAAAGCATGGGGCATTTCTGCACCCAGAAGACTCACAGATAAGATTCTCCCACTGCTTAAGATTTTACAGACTTAGAGAATGCAGAGGCCAAATTTTAAAACATCAGTGACAAACCTGAACTCTTACCCTGAGAGTATCTGGAGTTCACAAAAAAAACCAATAAAAATTGAAGAACAGTGTCATATTTCTAGGAAATCAAACAAGTACTTTTTCAAAGACAATCCCTTCATCTAAAGAGCATAATTCAGCAAAAGAGAAATGCCAACTAGAAGGCAATTAAATTGTGAGCTTTGCCATACCTAACACTTTCAGGGTGACAACTGCTTTCTAGAAAACTGAATTTGAGAATGAGCATTTGAAATCTAAATTGAGTGTTGATAGTATTTTTTCTAGGATTTTCTTTGATTTCTCTGTAAATACCAATTGCAAGCTCTGTGGCATAAAATATAAACATGGTTACTTAGGTTTAAAAATTATTTAGAGCACACAGGAAGCGGGGGACTGCGGGCTTTTTAGCAGTACTAAAGAACCTCTGTTTGTAACTGCTGATTCTCCCATCTGGTCTTTATCCCATCTTTCTTTCTTTCTTTTCTTTCTAGTCTGTGGGGTGCCTAGTAATCCCGTCCGAGACACAGGAAGGATTTTTGGAGGCACCCGTGCAGAAAAGGGCAACTTTCCCTGGCAGGTGTATTTCAGTGACCCCAGAGCAAGTGGAGTGCTCATCTCTGACAGATGGGTGATGACTGCAGCTCACGTGCTGGAGGGATATGACAAGCCCAGCATGTATGCTGGGGTAATCGATGTTCGTAGAGAATCCCTGAAGTGGGAAGCCCAAAAGCTTATCCCAGAAGCTTCATTCATCCATCCTGATTGGAAGGAGGAGCCCACAGAAACCAGGATCGATTTTGATAATGATATTGCACTACTGAAGCTGAGGGATCCTGTGAAGATGGGTCCAAACATCTCACCCATCTGTCTTCCTGGTAAATCACCTGAATATGAGCTGCAAGAAGGGACTCTGGGCTACATTGCTGGATGGGGCCAGAGAGAGAAAGGAAGACTCCCTGCTGATCTTTGGAAGGCCCAGATTCCCGTGGTGAACATGGACAAGTGCCGATCTGTGAAACCAGACAACTACGATGGTTCTGTCGTTTACATATTCACCGACAACATGATCTGTGCTGGTGGTGGCAAGGACAGCTGCCGGGGGGATAGTGGTGGAGCCTATTCCATCCAGGATCCTCTGAACGCCACCCGGTACTACGTGGCGGGGCTCATCTCCTGGGGGCCAAAATGCGGCACCTTTGGTCTTTACACCAAGGTGTCGCGCTACGTGGACTGGATCAGAGAGACCATGAGCGAGCACGAGGGTGAGGAAGATCAGCAGAAATAGCTGTTCCTCCTTTCAGCACCTTCACCCTTTCTAAATGGGATGGCTGCATGTCTGGGCCGGCTGTGACCCTGTTCACTCTGTGTATATAGTGGGCAATATATAACACATTGTAACTCATGGCGCCTATGCTGAGGGGAGAGTCAGGAGCGTGGATCTGTTTCTCCCTCTGTCATCATGTCTGGGAAGGGAAATGCCCTTTCTCCTGCTCATAGTAGCGTAAAAGGAAGACATTATTCTGAATAAAGAGACTCTTTCTGCTTCCTTTCATTTTTTTTTCTATCCTATCTTTTCCCACTTGGAGAAGACCTAGCTGTGCTCCATTGAAACCAGACAGGGAGGTTTCCATGAAGACAAGAGAGAATAATTGTTGGTTCCCAGGGAGCCTGGTTTCTGATTTATGTATTTCCTGACCTGTTCAGACTATCTAACAGCATTAAAGAATGTCCAAACTGCCTTTTGTGCAATGTGCTATTGTGTCTGTAATGCCTTTCTTCTTCTCAGTCTAGACCTAGTTCTCCTTGAAACTCCCTAAATCAAGTGTCTAATCATATTCTGACCCTGCCAGCTTTCATCAAGCTGGAACTTGTAGTACCTCACCTCTGTATCAGAGTATTTATAAAGTTCTTGTGAGATTGGTTCCATTTCACTGATCAACCATTACCAGCAATGAGGACTTCAGACTTCTGAATTAAGCTGAAGAGAACAGCCATCTTCAAAAGAATTTCATTCACCTGTCCTCAGGCTTTATTTTTTTTCAAATTTTACTGTGTTAGGAAAGAAAGCAACCTTTATTTTTCTCCCAAAACACCATTTTCTCTTGATTTAGGGAGGAATATTACATGTGTTAGAGATATTTTCTGCTCCTTAAGATCCTGTATCACTCACAGACATCCTTCCACTGAGATTGATCAGGGAAATGGTACAGATGGCACGTACTGAAAGACTGAGTTTGTTCAGCTTGAAGAGGAGGAAGCTAAGAGAGGGATCTAACTGCTGTATTCACACACCTAAATTTCCAGCTGGGCTTTTTCCTAGCATGTGGGTCAGCAGTGGAGCAAGTGCCACAACAGGCTGTCCCTAGATCTCTTGATAACTTTCCCTGAAGCTCTGAAGTTAGTCCCACTGTCAGCAGTGGATTGGACAGAGACATCGTCTTCCAGCCTAAGTTTTTACAGGAGTTTAAGAAATGTTGAGGAGGATAGGTACAGCTCTTGGGAGATTTCATATGGAATCCTGTACTCAGCTCAAGCACTTTCAGTTTCGTGTAACAAGCAAAACATTATTGGATTGTTGGACTAGTAACCAAGGATCTTGTATCTTGTTTCTCTCAGTGACTCATAAGAACACAGTAGGTTATTTTGCAGTAGAAACACTAGTCAGAAGACAGCTCCAGAGAATACCCACAAGACAAAAGAGGTCACCTTTTCTCTGAGTCAGCATCATTTTAGAGCTGTTGTCTTGCAATTAAAGCTTTATTACATATAGTATAAAAAAATCCATCCTCAACTTCTGATCAGTAAAGTTTCCTGAGCTCCTTTCTCCATGAGATTGATTGCTGCCTTCCCTGTTTTTGGAATGTGGCATCACACACTCAAGTTATTTTTGCCTCCCTTGAAGCCACCTGGGGTTTCAGACCAGGTAACCTAATGATAATTTTGGGACAGATAAGCAGCTGCCAAAGGCCATTGCAGAACTGGAAACACTTTAGTGGTAGGTAAAGCAATCCCTATATAAAGTCCATGAGTTGCTTTCAATGGTGAGAAATATTCAGTTGTTAAAAGCATAGACAAAAGACCATAAAACACCTGGTTTATCCAGGAAGCATTTTAATATTCATAGAATCTCACAGATGCCAATGGGCTTACACACACTGTACTCTGCAGAAACCACCCCATCCTTCAAGGAAGTCTTCTTCCCTGCAACCTTCCCACAAAAGAGATTACAAAAGTAGACTGCAGTAGTTTCATGATATCATCAGCATTTCAAACCGTAACATGTTTGCTGTCATGAGATTTCCTGATACAATTAAGGCTTCATTGTTTTAACATTTGTATGAACCCCAACATGCACAAAGGCATTCCCCAAGCTGCCAATGGTACAATCAAACAGCATGGCAGCTTTCAGAAGTGCTCATGGTGAAGGTTACATGCTTTGCAAGTTTGAAAAGCCTTTGGGACACCATCGAAAGCTTTGGCTATGATTTACCATGTCTGGAAATTGATATGCTAACTGTGCTTCAGTTAGTAGGACAGCAACTCCTAGGGCCTGTCCTCCTTTACTATCCCATTGATCCAGTCCAAATAGCTGAGGATCTTGGTGTAGAAACCGTAGCCTGTGGCACAGCCGATTCCCCAGGAAACGATGCCGGTAGCCACCCAGCGATCACTTTCCCTGTCTAACACCGTGAAGACGCTCCCGCTATCCCCCTGGCAGGTGTCCTGCTTGCCTTCGAGAAAGCCAGCACAGAACATGTTCTCAGAGAAAACCATGGGGATACCTTTCTTATTATTGTCTAGCCAACTCTGACACCTCTCTCGAGCAACTGCTGGTAGGCTCACATACTTCAAATCGCTTGAGATGCGATTTTTATCCACACCGAAGCCGCTCACGTAGCCCATGTGCCCATGGGTGTAGAACGAGGTGTTGGTAGCATCTGGGAGACAGATGGGCAGCAGTGTAGGGCCCAGAGTTACTGGGTTTCTCAGCTCCAGCAGGGCTATGTCCCCGTTGAAGTTGTGCTCATCTTTAGGGTTGAAATCTGGATGGATAAAGATCCTACGTACAGGGTGGTTACCCATCTTGTGGAGCTCATCTACGTTGGTGTGGCCAAGGAAAATGTCAGCCTCCTCTGCCAGCTGCTCCAGGCTCACATTATTCTGTACTCCTCCTTTGGGGAAGATGGTGTGGGCAGCAGTCAGGATCCAGCGATCGCCCAGGAGTGCACCACCCCCTCGTCCATTGATGGCAGTCAGAGCCTGCCAAGGAAAATTGCCTCTCCCTGCTGATTTGCCACCCAAGATCCGCTGGAATTCAATAACAGGATGGACTGGCTTCCCACACACTGTGGAGAAACACAAGAAAACCATTACCCATCTTCTTTTGTCCTGGTTTTTCTCTCTCTTTCCTCACCACCACTCTTTGATTTCACTTTATTTTGGCTTTCTGGATAGTTTTCCCTTTTCCCTCATGGTACCATTATCCTCACTCCCCTCCCTGCATGTTGTCTCAGTTTTGTACTGACTGTAAACACAAATCAGAAAATACCAGACAAAAACAGAGATTTTACTGACCTGGCAAGCAGGATGGAATTCTCTTCTGACCGTCTTGATCCAGCCAGATTCCCTCAGGAGAGCAGGTGAATCTGTCTGTAGGATGAGAGGGAAGGGAATGAGACGCAGGACTGCAGGCATGGGGTGGGAAAACAGAATAGAATAGAATAGAATAGAATAGAATAGAATAGAATAGAATAGAATAGAATAGAATAGAATAGAATAGAATAGAATAGAATAGAATAGAATAGAATAGAATAGAATAGAATAGAATAGAATAGAATAGAATAGAATAGAATAGGAATAGAATATTTTCAAGCAGTTTCTCAGCCCTTCCACCCCAAAGCACTCTTTCCCAGGAAAAGCTGCCTGTGGTAGGGTGTAGAAAGTTTCCATCTGTACATCTTGAAGCTCCTCAGTTCCAGAGGAGCAGTAAAGCTCAGGCACTGTAGAAGAAAAAGTTGAAGGGCCATCTGTGTGCAGTTTTATCTTCATTGAGTCCACAGGTGTACAGAGCACTGTTTGATCTTATTTTAGATTCAAGCTTCTGGTGCCAGTAGTTTGTAGAGAATAGGACAAGGTGGTTTGTCCCAGAAATGGGAACCAGATGAGTCAGTTACTGTACATGCTCAGTATCTATTTCTGACCCTAAGTTGCAGGTCAGCTAAACTCACCTGTCACCTCTCAACACAAACTCCACTACCTCAGACACTCTTGCTTTTCTTAGAAAGTTTGTGCTGGTGACTAAAAATAATTTATATACAATTTGTCTTAACACTGAAGTAAATGCTTCTAAGAAAGTGTTTGCTGTTCTCCTTCACAATTGACTAAATTATGACCCCCCATCAGAATTTGGCTAGAGCTGATATTTGCTTGCTCCTGATTTTTCTTCAGATGAGACTGAGCTCTGACTCTGTATGGAGGAGTTAAACTCAGATGCAAGAATAATCAAATTGAACATTAGTACCAACTTAAAGAACTCTTTAGCAGCATGCCACCTCTCTTCAGCATGCAGCACAAGCACGTGTCCATGATGGTAAATGTGTCCAGAAACTTATTCAGATTAAAAATATTTTTTTTTCTTGTTGAGGCTAAATGAGCAGCCAAGACAAGGAAATCATGAATTCCTTATGCTGATCTTGGAATCAAAGGTCCTACATAATCAATAATGTCTCGGGTGTAAAAAGAAGGTTTTGAATGATGACTTAATTTTTCTGAGCTGCTGCATTATTATAGATTTTTATGCAAGTGTGCTATTTAGCTCTTAGATATCTCTGCAGCTGAACAATATTCCAAAGAGCTAAACAGCATGACACTAGAGTGGAGTGTTTATTTATTTGCCTTTGTAGCAACCTGGACTGATGCAGTGAGTTTTATGAACTTTGGTGATTCTCAGACACCATGTCTCAAATGAAATCCACTGGAAAAGAATGAAATCCACTAGAAAAAAAATGAACCATGACTACAGCTGAGAGAATAAGACCTTCCACAGAAGTTAAGAGGAGCATAGAAGAGGAATATAATGGGTTCCAGGAATGAAGCAGAGCGGGAACAGGCTGAGACAAGAAGACTCCAGAGATAGGCTGCAGGGTCAAGAAAAGACTGGAGAGTCTTCACAGGAGGAGAGCACGAGCCCTAAGTCTGGGGAGAAGAGACAATTCTAATTGGAAACGTGAGAGGGCTTTCCAGGCACAGGTTTGGGTGTCTGTGTGGGATTAGGACTCACCACCTCCCGTTCCGGTGACGATGTGGTAATAGGGCTCATTGCACCGGTATGAGATCACTGACTGGTACTCATTGTTTGCAGATTTGTTAACATAGCTGAATGCACCATTGGTCAGGTTTTTAGGGCTGCCACAGTTCACAACTGCAAGAAAGAAAAAAAAAAAAAGAAGACATAAATCAAAGGCAGACTGATTGAAAGTCTAGGCATTGGGGCCATGATGTGAAGGACCAGTTAGGACAGTGGGCAAAGAGAGGTTGTCCCAAATTGGATCTCAGATAAGGATCTTTTGCTTTTAGACATTGTAACATCATAGTAATTTTTGAGTGGTATTTTATGCATTTTTGTAAAGGAGGGAAAAAAATTGAATTTTTGCAAGTAGAAAAATGTGAATCAGTGGTGGACCTCCACAGGTCCACACAGGCAGCACATCCATAAGGCTATGGCATGGACAAAGTGAGTCAGAGAGGCTGAATTTCCCATGTTCCTGGAGGAGGAAAGCCACAGCAGGGGATGTTATTCCCGTTCTAAGATCACTCACTTTCACAGTGGGGCATGGGTTGATGCCATGTGCCATCAGCCTGGCAGACAGCTGTGAAGGACACCAGCTTTCGGTCGCCCTACATGGGAGAGAAGAACATCTGTTGGTTGTACAGAGCCTTAACTCCTTCTCCACATTAAAATATTATTCTCTGTGCCCATCTTTTCCCTGCTGTCCAACATTTGCCCCTCTGCAGTCTGTTCTGGTTGCTGTCTCCTCCTGCCTTCCCTCTATCCTGTATTTGCCACAGGCTACACATTTTTCACAGCAGGCCAAGATACCAGCAGCCAGCAGCTATGAAACCACGATGAGTCAGAAGTGCTACCCAGCCCTGGCAATAGGATGGCAAGTGAGGATCTTCTGCTTTCATCTCCTGATTTCGTATCCTTCCAAACAGGTGTTCTTGTTTACCAACTTTCCCTGGGATCTTTATCTTTAGTCTTCTACCAGGGCTTCATGAAAGAGTAACTGCATAAGGAAGAGAGCTAGAAAAAGAGAAACCACTGGAGAGAAGCGAAGAAGGAACAGAAATTGCAAGAGGTTTGCCATGAGTGAAATCTCCAAAGGAAATTTAACTGAAAGGTGAAAGACCCAAACTGAAGACAAAACAGAAGAAGGCTGAAGGGAGTGGAGAAGGGATCTCACCTCCATCAGGTTATACCCAGTCTTGCAGCTGACAACAAAATAGTCCTGAAATTGATACACAGGCTGCAGGTCTCTGATGATGGTAAACTGATCCCGTGGGACAGGCTGTGGGCACCGTATTTCTGTTAGAGTGGGACAGATTAAACTGGGATTAGCAAATCCATCCAAATCCATAAAAAAATTAGTGTCAGTTGTCTATAGTAGCCTCTGGGGGAGAAATCTCTTACTCTCTGAGGTGTAGTGGATCTTCCAGCCACGGCTGAACCCTGACTCATCGGTGAGGAAGAGTATGTCCACCTCATTGCTGTTGGTTTCAATGACGCCAGGTGGTTCTCTGCCACAGAATTCACCAATCTCTCTCCCTCGTGCTTGGATCTGATGAGGAAAACATGTATTTCAATAAATTTCAATAAATATTTCAATAAAGTCACATGCCTTTCTGCCTCAGTATACCTGCTTCAACCCAGACCACGTTTACCAGAGTGCCTTCCACAAACTCTGCTTCTCCCTTATCTGGGCATCAGAGCTAGCAACCCCTGAGATCAAATCAAAGGGAAATTAAACTGGAAGAAGGATAGGGCATTTTTCTTCACTCACAGGGGCCTATGACCCAGAGCCTCTGACCTCAGTACAGTGGTAATTAAATGCACTGAGGGAGAGACAGGGGCTCAGTCGTTCGTGCCGGGGCATTCTGCTTGTACTGATTCCATATTTCTCATTGAATAGCGCTGTCCCCATGATTCCTGTCCAGTCTGGTGCATGCTGCAACAAACCCATGAGTGATCAGTGTTCTCAGGGCCTGGAGAGCACTGCTAAATTTTGCTGACGATAAGGGTGAAGGGATGGGTCCTCGCTTGAGTTCCAAAGACTGTTTATTCAAAGGATCCAGGGACAAGAACAGCCTCCAAGGAATTCAGGGATGAGAACCAGGATCAGGTTAAGGGCACAGGGTTAAATACAGAGCAAAAGGGGCAGGTCTGAGGGTCGAGGTCCAATAGGGACAAGGGAAAGTGGTGCAGGGGGCTGGCTAAAGACTGGGACAACTAATGGGAGAACAGGGGTGAAACAATGTGGCAAAACAAAGCTAATGAGGGTTAAGTGAAGGAAGAACATTCTAGGAAGGGTACATAAATGGTAAACAGGGGCTGAACACAGGTGGTATCAATTTTTACAGAGCCATTAGAATATCAGAACCCAAAAGGTATTAACATGTGGCTGTAAAGGGCTGTGGGAATAAGGTTTTCCTTTTATCTAGAGGGGCATCTCTCCTCTCTTGTGTTGTCCCCTCCAGGGTTGAGGCATCTTGGTAACAGGCCCCCAGGCCTCCACAAATCTCAGTACCTTGAGCTGGTCATAAGGACAGTGGACTTGCTGGTGATCATCAATCTCAAAGGGTTCCAAGAACTTGAGGGAGATAGACAGGCCCTTCTGCAGGCGGATGCTGTAGTTACACCGGAGCTGTTCGGGATAGGGCTGGGGGTACTCGGGGCTGCTCAGGTACCCAGATGCTTCTGTGAACAACTCACTGCTGCACTCCACTGGTGAAGAGGAAGAAAGGAGAGGTCACATAGTGGGGCTGTGCCTGTCATCTGCTTCCCAAGTCACTTCTCCCACCCTTACTGCATGAAGGGCTCCTTCTCTGGAACCCTCTGATCTTTTAAAATTTCTCCTTACCTTTGCAGGAGTGGTGGTCACTCTGAAGCTGGTAGCCAATCCGGCAAGAACAGAAGTAGCCACCCACATAGTTGTGACAGAAGTGCTGGCACTGAGGCCTGTCGTTGCTCTCAGCAGCATTGTTAGGGTCACATTCATCCAGATCTGAAGACACAGGAAGTGAAGGGGCAAGGGGAGGAAAGTGTTAAACCTCCCTGCTCTACACTGACAGTACTTAGAGATCCATATCCTTGCCTAAAGCTTCTCTTTATTTGCCTGGCAAGGAGGGAAAGTGGCTGGAGCCACACAGGCTTTTCCTTCTGCATGCCGAGGGTATTTCCTACTCACCCACAGCTCTGTAATATGCCAGGAAGCCCCTGTAGGGAATCACTGTGCCGTTGTCTTCGTTGGAGAAATCAGAGCGAAATTCTAAGTGCATCTTGTTCCCCTTAGATACAAACTCCTTTCTTCCCGGGCGATTGCCTGTGGTTGACCCAAGCCGGCCGCAATACCGGCCCAAGTCCTTCTTGTCTGCTTTGATCTGTCAAAGGTAAGGTGAAATCAGTGTAGCCTCATGAGATTGAGTCTGCTCCACTCGCCGGTATTACCCAACCATGAGCTGTCAGTGCTTGCTCCTCCCATTTCTATCTTTAACTCCTTCCCTTTCCTTTGTGGGAAGCATCAAAGGAGCCATTGCACATGATGGCCACTGGATTGCCATCTCCAGGTGTCTGTGCACCTACCTTAACATAGTCATAAAAGCAGGACTCAGATGGTTCCAGGTCAAAGTATTTGAAGGTCAGCTTCACCACGTAGCCTTTTGGGACTTGAATATCCCAGCTGCTGATGTTGTTGTTGGGATATGGCTTGGGATAATTGGGGGATCTGATCTCCCCAAAAAGGGGAGAACCTCTTGGGACCGGACTGGAACCGATCACTCCAATAAAGAGGAAGGCCCATGGGAGACAAGGAATATGCCTGTGAACACAACAAATAAACCATGACATTGCACAAAATTAGGTCGTTCAAAATCAGAAGAGACTTCACAACTGACTTATGCACTGTCTAAAGGAATGCAAACACAAGTGCAAACACGGGAGGCCTAGTTGTAGGACCAACTCCTGGCTTGGACCACTCAGGAACAAGAAGGGCAGCTGAAATGAAGACACCAGCACTAACAAGGTTCCAGGAAGCCATTGTAGTAGTCTCTACAGAGAAATTCATCAACCCAGGAAGCATGGGTGAATTCCCTGGGTAAGGTCTGCATATTCCCAGAAGCTGTAGGGCTGATTCTTATAGAACCAGGAGAAGTTTGGTCCCACTTGACCCTGGGCCAGCGGGTTGCTTTGAGTTATCGCTAGCTCAGGATCCTTGGGGAGGATCTGAAACTCTCAAGCTCAGTTTGTCGTGGAGCAATCCTGCTAGTGTCTCCTGGGCAGTCCTCTACCCAGCCATGTCTCCATCTCTGTCCTCCCAAAGCTGGCACATTCTTTTTTCCTCTCATTCTGCACATCTCCCCTCTTGCCCTCTGTGCTCCTCCGAAACAAGCTCACTGCCCAGAGCAGCAGCTTAACCCCGTTGTCCTATTCCCCTTCCTGGAAAGATTTAACCCCCACGACCCCCCTCTAATCCCACCCTCCCCCAAGGCTGTGCCGGCGCGTCCCCGTCCCCCGATCCCCGGCTCACATCTCCGTGCGCTCGTCCCTGCCCGGGCAGCCCGGNAGGAGGAGGAGGAGGAGGAGGAGGAGGAGGGAGGCAGGAGCGGGGAATAGAAAGCCGGACTGCGAACAGCCTGGCCGCGGACCAGGTCCCAGCGCCGCCTCTGCTGCCCTCTGCTGCCGAGCGCCCCGGCCCCGGTCCGCGAACACGGAGCCGGGGGTGCCCCGGGGGTGTCCCGGAGGTGCCACCCAGCAGAGCCGAGCTACCTCCTCTGGCCCAGCACACGGAAAAAAGATTGCCAAAGACCCCTCCGAGGGCTTGGTCTGCAATCCAGAAGCTGTTCCGTGTTTATTCCCATCGAAAATGTCCTCCTAGGAAGTCCCCTCGCCCCAGCAATCGTCCTGGGTTTTCTGGTATAGAAAGACGAGCGAATTTATAGTCTTCACAAATTAATTCAAACTTCTAAAAATCAAGCTGTCAAAAAAAGATAAGTTTTCTCAATTCTGACCTGCTGAAGAGCACTTCTGAGACTTTTTGGGGGGTGGGGATGGGAACCGAGATTGTCTTCAAGAAAAACAAGAAGCCTCAGGCTTAACTTGAGTTAAAGAGATAGTAAGAAAATTAAAAAGTCTACACAATTAAAGGCATTCTGAGAAAAAGAAAAAAATCCCTTTTCAAGGACCCCTCTTGATGCTTCTTCTGCAAGCATTTTTAGGAGAACCAAGATGGATAGATAAGGCCCTCTATTTAATGGAGTAATGAGAAAATACAGCAACTTAAAAACCCTTTTCAGGCTTTTAACAACACAGTGCCCAAGACATATATTTTTGCCCCCAACTGTATGAAGTTTAAAATTTCTTGGCTTTCAGGCTTTGGTGTAAGAGATAAAACACCATTTTAGTATTTTTCCTTAGAATTGTAAGTGGTTTTGGAGAGGTTAGGAAGTGTCTCGCATTGAAATCAGAGGAAGTAATTCACAGCCACAAAAGCATGTTGAATGAAGATGAAAATAGTATTAAAAATAATGAAGAAAGCATCTTTGGGATATTTATGGAAATGTACTAGAGAACCTGCTCATCAAGCCATATCCCAACAATAACGTCAGCAGCTGGGATATCCAAGTCCATTCATCTTTGAATTATTATCCCAACAAGATCACATAAACATGTAATTAATGCCACTGTAATAACACCATATGGCCCCACGTATCAGATTTAAGATTAAACAGGGGACATTATCCCAGTACTTCCTGATGTCCCAGTATGTCGTCCTCATGATGAACCCACTTGGGCAGGCCCACTGCTGTGCCATGCCATGCTGGGGTGGCTTCTTAACTCAGAAACCTCACCTGGAAATAGCTGGGAAATACTGGAAACTGCTCTTGGAGAGATCTGTCACGAGCAGGTCACTGGTGGGAAGAGTGTTCCCTGGCAAAGTACGGACAGATGGACACCCCTGGGGATCATTTGTAAGGAAGTGGGTAATTCTACTGTGTTCTTGACAAAGCAATCTTCTGTCCAGGGGGCAGGTCTGTCCCGGGGCACTTCCAAAGCACACCTCCCCGCGTCTCCATTTCTTTCTCCCGTCCTGATAACATCATCTGGGATAACAGGAGAGTGCTTCAGCTGGTGAAGCAGGGGTGATTAGCTGGGGACACATCCAATCGGAGCAGCCCACCTCTAACACATATCCCAGAGATGTGCCCGATTTGGACAGCACAGCGACACCCTCAGTCCCGCTCCAGGGCTCCCACTGGTGGCATTCCCCATCAGATGCTCTGCACAATTCTCTTCGTGTTAGACCAGAGCCACGAAATATCATGGTACCAGTTTTTCCTTGGAAGGATGTATGTGACCATCTTTGCTTAGGGACAGAATTCCTGTAGGACCACGGGACATATGTGGGACCACGGAATGGCAAAACTGGCACCTGTTTGCTGCCTGCTGGCCTCAGCTGCATTACAAGTGGACAATAAACACAGACAATATCAGAGCAAAGTAAAAAAACTGTAGATCTTGAGCGTGGTCAAACATCCTCTCATGGAGCAAGAATCCTGCTTTGAATACAGTGTTTTCCCAGGGTACTCTACCTTTAATCCCCTTGGTTTGACTACCCAAAGTACCCAAAGGCTTGGTTTGAGCCTTCTGGGGACGCTGCCATTGAGCTTGGCCTTCACACAGTCAGGCCTATGCTGTCCAGTGGCTCAGAACTCTTTCAGACAAATCATGATGCTTCTGCAGTTCTGGCTGCTAGGGAGGGGTTGATCAAGACCAAAAGAAGGTTCAGGAGTCTAAGAGTGGGTCCTTCCCCTGGTATGAGATGCAGCAGCAGCAGCATCTTGGCAGCCTGCTTCAGTGTCTTCTAAATCAAGGAGTAAAACCAAAGTGTAATGCCCTGAGGGGTACACAGTTCTGCAGCACTAGCCACTCACCAATATCACACCTCCTCCCAATATCACACCTTTCCCCTGCTTTACAGTGTCATCCTCACTTCCCATAGCCTCATGTCTCAGCAATATAGCGCTGTTGGGTAAAGTCACCATCTGACTTAGGCATCACACCTATAGCATGATTATGAAAGAAAAAACTGAATTATTAACACTGGTAGTTACTACCTGAGGCCCTGGAATATGTTGCAGTATTATCCCCTGTGATTATCATTAGCGTGGACCACATCAACTGAGAATGATTCTTATCTATGGTTCTGGCACAATCAGATGCCTCCTGAAGAAGAGAGGCTGTCGTGAATATATGGTGGCTGGCAATGAAAGCAATCTACTTGGCCTATCACCTCACAGGCTTACAGGAAAGTTACGTGGATGGCTGGAAGGCCAGTGCTTTGAAGAGTCTGGCTAATCACCTGAAGGCAATAGTGTCTGCCATCCAACCAGAATGTAGGCTCAGAAGAGGAGAGTTTGTACCAGCTTGTGGTGCAGGGCTGGAATGAGCTGATGAGTTGTTGACCACACGGTCTGGAAGATAGCAACCTGGCCATGGTGAGGTGGGCTTGGTGCTGGGCATCAGAAGCAGCTCAGAGGGTGTTCTTGTGGCATGGAAGCGTGCAAAGAGGGCAACAGTGGAACCAGCTCCAGCTGCTGTCTGCCTTTTGCAACTTCATGATACGACAAAGATGATGTAGAGGTTCCATGTGGCAGAAGGAGCGATGGGTTGAGGAGGCCTGCACAACGCAGATATGCTGGATGGCCTGGCTCTGATTGCTCACTTGGTTCGATTGTGGCACTCAGATTGTGGATTGTGGATACTGACAGGGTGCTGCTGCCTCATATGTCCTCAGATACAACTGTAAAGAGCCAGAGGTTGACACTGTAGGCACAGCTGCAGCTCCGCAACCCTTTGCTTATCACATGTTCTGAAGTAATGCTTTTCTCATGGCACTCATCTTTGCAGTTCCCTGAAAAGAAGCTCTCCAGAAAACACTATGTTTAAATGAGCTGCTGGCAGAAAAAAAGCATTTTTTCAGATTATAAAGGGCTTATATTTTAAAAATCTCCCAATCTTCTGGTTCTTTGTGGTGTCTTTGTGTACCCTGCCCTTCAACCTTTTGCTGGGAGACAACCACATGCATTTTTCAGAAATAACTGCCTGTGGACTCGTGCCCATCCCATCAGGTGTCATAATTAAAGAACACCTCTCTCTGTGGCACAGATCTGGCTTTTCAGGGGACCTCCCCCCACTTAGTTCTGCCCCTTGGTCTCCAATGGCAGAGAGCTATGAACCAGCAGAGCTACAATGGCTGTGAGGAGACCCTGCCAAGAATGCCAGGAGGGCTAGAGGTGGTGGCTGTCCTTGCTTACCCCAGGAACAGATCCTGACCCTTCCTCACCCAATGGGACCTTCTGGGGAATGTGAACACAGAGCAGATTACTCCAGCCCTCAGGCTTCACACCACCACATGAGAACCCTAGATGGAAGGACAAGTTCTGTTTCCTACCCATCCTACTTGAGGAGCCCAAGAAGCTGTCCCTGGAAGTGCTCAAAGTCAGGTTGGATGAGGCTTTAAGCGACTTGATCTGAGTGAAATGACACAGAATCACAGAATCACTTAGGTTGGAAAAGATCTCCAAGACCATCAAATCCAATTTTTGACCGATCATTAACCTTTTCAACCAGACTACGCCAGTAAGTGCCACGTCCAACCGTTCTGTGAACACCTCTGGGGATGGTGACTCCACCACCTCCCCGGGTAGTCCATTTCAATGCTTGACAATTCTTTCCCCGAAGAAATTCTTCCTGAATTCCATGGCATCGGAGGAAGGAAAGGGGAGGCCTTCAACTAAATGATAATTTTAACATCCTTACAACCCAAACCATTCCATGGTTCTATGGTCCCCCGATCCCGGGAGGAAGGTAGCATCCTCAGAGTACCACAGAAGATGGCAGGTGGTGGCTGCAGGAGGAGCAGCCTGAGCCACCCTCGCCCACTCGGACACCGACCCCCCCATCCCGGGAGGGCATCGCGGGGTTGGGCCGGGGTGGGGTGGGCAGGAGGAGCGCT